CCATTTTTAGAAACCCCTTTGAGTTACGTTTTACGTACTAACAAATCTGCCATTTCAAATTCCGATTTTGTAACGGATGCTGTTTTAGATTTGCTTAATGCGGGATGCATATTAGAAGTACCTTTTAAACCCCATGTTGTTAATCCCCTTTCTGTTGCTATAAATAACACTGGCAAGAAAAGGCTGATTCTTGATCTAAGTCATTTAAATAAGTTTATTTGGAAGGAACATTTTAAGTTTGAAGACTGGAAAATAGCTTTTGAAATGCATTTTAAAGATGACTATATGTTTAAATTTGACATACAATCCGCTTATCATCATATAGATATTTCACCTTTACATCAAACTTTTCTGGGATTTTCTTGGAATATTAAAGGCAAGAAAAAGTTTTTTGTTTTTACTGTATTGCCGTTTGGTCTTACTTCTGCCCTATTCGTATTTTCGAAATGTTTAAGAGCTGTAGTTAAATACGTCAGAGAAAATGGAGTTCGTTTAGTGCTTTTTCTAGATGATGGATGGGGGGTAAATAAAAAGTTTGAGTCAACTCTTCAGGATGCTCATTTTGTAAAATCTGTTATTTTAAAAGCAGGTTTTATTTTAATTTAAAAATCAATTTTTATCCCTGTTCAAACTTTGGAATGGCTTGGTTTAGTTTGGAATTTATCGAATAATTTTTTAGGTATTTTTGAAAGAAGACTGAATAGCACGAGAGAAGCTATTTCTTATTGTTTATCACATTTGACGTCACTGACCGCTAGGGAAATCGCACGTGTAACTGGGAAAATTGTGTCGATGATTCCGGTTTTAGGCAATGTATGTAAACTCATGACTTAAAATCTACAAATGGCTATAGAAGCTAGACAAAGTTGGGATTCGAACTTAAATTTAAGTCATGGTAGTGGATGTTTATATGAATTTGAATTTTGGATGAGAAATTTAGGTTATAATCCAGTACGACCTGTATTTAGTAATTTGTCTCACACAATAACTATTTTTTCGGATGCTAGCTGTTATGCCGCCGGGGCTATAATTAAAGGTTCCCCCGACGAAATCTGTCATATAAATTGGTCGGAATCCGAAAAGTCTGAAAGTTCTACTTGGCGGGAATTAACTGCTATCAATTGTGCCATACGATGTTTTTTCAGCCGTTTGAAAGGTCACTGTGCTCGTTGGTGCACGGACAATCAAAATTGTGTCGTTATTATTGATAGTGGTAGTATGAAACCTAAATTACATGCTATTGCGTTGGAAGTTTTCAATTTATGTCTTGAAGGTAACATTTCCCTTTGTTTGCAGTGGGTTCCTAGGAAAGAAAATTCTGTTGCCGACGCAATATTTTATTCAGTAAAGTTTTTGATTGGGATGATTGGGAAGTTTCCGAGGATTTTTTAAAAAATTTTTAGATAGTCTGTGGGGTCCCCATACAGTTGACCGGTTTGCTAATCATTATAATAAAAGATCTCCTAGATTTAATTCTAAGTTTTGGGTACCAGGGACTGAAAATGTTGATGCCTTTTCAGTATCTTCGGCTGAAGAAAATAATTGGTTAGTTCCGCCGGTAAATTTGGTACCGAGAGTTATAAAATACCTGGTTTCTTGCGGGGCTATCGGAACTTTGATAGTTCCCAATTGGCCCTCTGCTGCCTTTTGGCCGTTACTTTTTGGCAATACTAGTATTAAGCAATCTATGGTTTTAGAAGTGCTGGAATTTAAAGCTGGTCAAGATATTTTTATTCAATATAAAAACAAAAATACAATTTTTGGTTCAAAAAAGTTTACAAGCAAGGTTTTAGCCGTGAGATTAGATTGTTGCTTAATTATTTATTTATTTATTTTTTTTTAAATGTCTGAAATTCAAGTTTGACATTTATGAATGTTGTTGAAGTTTCTTTTCATTCCGGATTTATGATTTTCATATTGTTAATTTATGGAGCCAGGGCCTTTTTTGTTAAGGTCTCGTGTATTACTTATTTGTCATATTGTTTCATGACGCTGTTTTGCACATAGATTTTAAGATATGTTAAGTCCAGGGCCACTTGGCCAGGACTAGTGTACGTTAGTTTGCATTGTTTTTTAAGATATGTTTAGTCCAGGGCCACTTGGCCAGGGCTAGTGTACGAAAAATGTTCCCTTTAGTCAAGGGTCACTTGACCATGGCATTGTTTTTATTTAAGATACATGTATGTATAGTCCAGGGCCACTTGGCCAGGGCTAGCGTGTGTAAATTTTCATTCAGTCAAGGGTCACTTGACCATAACATTGTTTTCTTATAAAATATGTATAGTCCAGGGCCACTTGGCCTGTACAAATGAGTCATTGTAGCTTTTTGACACGATTGTATTTTATGTTTAAGTTGAACTTAGACGTATCTAATGTTATTATTTTAGGGTAATTTGGCCTAGGCATAAATTCAAAGATATTTTGTAAATAAGTGGTATGGCTGGCCTGTTAATGTTTAATATTTATATGCTTTTCTTACTTAATTCTTATTTGATCAGTTTTTTAACAATTGAATTTATTATATTATTATTATTTTAATAATGAACAGATTGAGTCATAAAGTGTACGATGATCCAGAGTTATCCTCCCTGGCTGTTTCACTTCCGGAAGTCGCTCTTTCATCAAAAGCCTGTAATACGAGTAAAAAATACCAGAGATCCTACAACAGTTGGAGTAAATGGGCTAGGCAGCATAGTTTGGTAGTTTTTCCTGCCAATGATGTGGATTTTTCTTTATATTTAGTGTCTTTAATACAAAGTTGTAATTCTCCATCTACTGTGGATGAAGCATTTTATGGTATGAAATGGGCTAATGATTTAGCAGGAAATTTAAATAATCCGTGTTCATCCTTTTTAGTGAAATCAGTCAGGGAGGCTCTTCATAGAATTCTGGGACATCGTGTTTCTAGGAAAGAACCTGTTACTCCAGAAATACTTTTTAAGTTGGTTAATGTTTTTGGAGATACTGATGTAAATTTATTTAAACTTAGGAATATGTGTCTTTTAGCTTACGCTGGTTTTCTAAGATTTTCTGAATTGATAAATGTTAAGCGTTCTAATATTCTTTTTAAGTCTGATCATATTTCACTGTTTATTGATCACAGTAAAACAGACATTTATCGAGATGGTAGTGGGTGATAGCAAAGACTGGAAATGTAACTTGTCCCGTTAACATGTTATTGCGTTATTTAGCTATGGCTAACATTGATGAAAACTCATATGATTTTATATTTCGTTCTGTTACTTTTTTCAAGAGTTCTAATTGTTATAAATTAAGAGGTACTTCACCATTGTCTTACACTAGAGCTCGTGAACTTATTTTAGATATGTTTGAGCATATCGGTTTGGACAAATCCAAATTTGGATTGCATAGTCTAAGATCAGGTGGCGCTTCAGCTGCTGCCAATGCTGGAGTGTCAGATAGATTATTTAAACGTCATAGACGTTGGAAAAGTGAAAAGGCTAAAGACTCTTATGTTAAGGATGACATTGATAAACGACTTTTAGTTAGTAAATGTTTAGGATTGTAATTTCGTTTTTCAAATTGTTTGAGTAATATTAGTTTTTATTGTTAATTTTTGCCCCATTTGCCCGTTCTTTGTTAATTCGATCATAAATGCAATGTGAATGACTGATTCTACATATGTGTTTGTGTTATATTTTCTTAGTTTCTGTAGACTAAGGGATAAATGATTTATTTCCGTTTAGGCGAAAGGGAATTAGGAAATAACGGTATATTTGGTCCAAGGAACTCTGGAAAAGGACCGCATATTGAGACGAAAAAAATCCGAATCCGTACCAGCTTTACATATTGTTTGTCCGACCTTTGAATATCCTTTTATTTTATGCAAACAGGTGGTCTTATATAATCTAATCTCAATTTATATAATCTGCTAATTTAAAAATCAGTCAAATTTACGGTGTATTGAACTTACATCGGCCATTTACCGCAACGTTCGGCGTAAGTTATCCCCCTTGATATGCTTGATTTTAAGGGAAACTTTTACATTTCCTAGTAATGAATACCAGATTAGTACCTAAACTATTTATCTATGGATCATGTTTTAATATTCCCTTTTTCATTTCGGCAAAATCAGTTGGACCATGTTACTAAAGTGTCTGTTTTCTCCATGTTAACAAATCAAAACACGAATACGCCCGTTATAATGCCGCCTATACATGTCAATACGGGTAAACAAGAAACCGTGAACGTTATACCCGTATATACCTGATAGTTGACAAAAGAAACGGGAACAAAATTCTGAAAAAATAGTAATCAATTGTAGCCAAAGGTGAAAAACTCATGCCGAAAACGTTGCGGCAAATGACGGATGTTACTCCTTGTATTTTTTTATAATACTGTAAAATTTGACCAGTTTTAAAAGAGACTGATTGGGTTCAATTGAAAATATATTTTTGAGGCCATATACTCGGTTAATACTAAAAGATATTAAGATGTAGCAGAAACGTTTTTAAAAACCGTTACACGATCGAAAATATGCGCCAAAATCTGCGGTCCCGTTTTCGAGTTCCTATGAGTGGTCGGGACTAGGGACAAGTAACAAACAATATATTTATTGAGTTAATTTTGTACTTATTAGAATATGACGCGATTAAAAACAACTAAATACAGTAAAATATTTCTCGTCTTATGACACCTGGAGTGATTTTAGATTATGCAAAATTGGAATTGCAATGTTTTTATCAAATATCCCTTCATACAAAAGAGACACGAAAAGGAAAATAAACCGGCTTATATTTAATCGATATTTATCCAGTTTAGAAAAACCTAAAATTGCCCATAGGAATTGAGAACCTTTTCCCCAAAGCACATATTTTTGGTAACTGATATAATGTTAAATGGGTCATTTGTTTCTGTGACTTAGATTTCGATACTTCACAACAACAGGTGTCAAGTGCTGTGTGGCAGCTGTAAAAAGATGCCACGTACTTCACTTCAGTGTTGTTATATTTTGATGGTCCGTCGGGATCATTGATGCCAGCACTATTAAGTGTTGAGAATTGAGTACCGCTCAAGCCGGTGCTAGAGGTGAGCATTAATCACAACAAAATTACAAGATAATTGCAGACTTGGTTTGATTGAGTCTGTACATGAGGGATAATGAATACGTGCAACATCCCTCTCGCCTCCTAGCACCGGCTTGAGCGGTACTCAATTCTCAACACTTAATAGTGCTGGCATCAAAGGCCCGTTTTCAGAAACGATTCTTAATCTTAATCTCGACTCAAACTCACGAAAGGTCGCCTCAAGTAACGCCGGAGTAGACTTACGGTAAGTAACTCACAATGTGCACAAAGATATTCGTTTTGTTTACTCAACCTTACCTCTCGTGAGGGAGACTTCAAAAGTTGACCGATCGGTTTTATTGCATAACATCACTCAATTTACATTGATAAGTGTAACCATGTCGTTTAAAAGAGTGTATTTCACCGAAGTGGTGATTTTGTTAAAGAATTAATTATTAAAAATCTTTGTTTATATGGAAGTCAAAATACTACATTGTTTACATTTTTCTACCATCATTACACATTACTGCACGTTCAGTGCAACTTTAAATAGTTTTTAATTATTTTTTAAGACTTAAAATAGAAAGAGGCATAACGTGATTTTAACAAGACTGTTTTATTTAAATCTTTGTCGTTGGTATTTGCAAATATATAATCCTAATCTTTTTAATTTCTTGAATCAATTTCAATGATATTGTACATAATCCCCCCTAAAAGAACAACAACAACAAACAAAACAACCCTGTTTGATCGTGATGCTGGAATACCTAACGACTGAAGCGGTAAATCATTTATCAGCTGTTATTAAAGTTACAATTTAACGCCATACTCGTTTAGTAAAGTGTGTTTTACATGCTAAACAAATGTTCAAGATATTGTTTTGCTACGTGGATTTCGATTTTTGTTTTTAATTAAAATACTCAGACGTCAACGCTAACTTTATGCCTTGGTTATTCATGACGCCAGGAAGATATTTCTCTGTCATTTTCCTTTGAAATATCTTCAAATATATAGATTGGGATTATATGTCAATCCCAAAATTTAAACAGTGTGATATAACTTGTATCTAACTGTTATGCATATGCCTATATTTAGACGCATACGACAAATCATCCGAGGATTTGAGTCCAGAATCATCGATGGTCACATTTACAAACACAGGATATAAGGAAATTTGAAAATCATATAAATTAATTTCTTTTTGGCAAAAGTACTAGTATCCGGCGAGCTGAATACCCTGTTAATACTTGTGTCACACTGGGTACACCCCTTTGAAAATCAAAATTTTTGATAAAATTCAACTTCTGACATAAATTTAATGGGATCATCTCTATCCCTAAGTGTTTGTTTTTCAACATATTTTTTCTAAAATACTGTCAGTTCGCGTATTTGATGCACTTAAATGTATACTGGACGAAATTTATTCAAAATCAATTCTCAAAACTAAGTGGTATTCAGTATCATTTTATTCAGGCACATCAAGGTAGCCCCCTCCTAATCTCGTAGATTCTCTACTCTCCTGAGTTCACTCGACTCTTACTTATAACCTGAATACCACTTTACTGAAAGGTGATAACTGTCTTAACCGTTAGGCAATTTTATGGGTTTTACTCAATGCGTGTGAGTGTAAGTATCCATTCTGAATACGGGCCAAAGTCTTAATCAGATACATGTTACCTATATAATTGAGGAATTATATAATTATGTTTAAATAAAATCATGTTTGCTTATTCTCAATATTCTTCAGTTGAATGATGAGTTACAATGAATACCGACCAGAATGTTTAACGATTTTAATTATATATACCGCCGACAATAATAGATGTATGAAAACTATCAAAAGAAGGCAAAAGTGGCTTAGCGATTCTTACGATGTTACCCGAAATCAGCCAAAAACTTTATACATTGATTTAAACAGCATAGGCATCACCGTTTAAGAATATTTGCGCCACCGATACATGTACGTTGAAGTATTTATGAGCTCTGTAAAAAGTATGATTTAATTACAAATGCTAGTTTTTAGAAACATTGACAGTCTGAATAAATTCAATCATAAATCAGGCAATGTGTATCATACAGTTAGAAGGTTTTTGTCTCAAAAATAACAACAAAAAAGAAGTGTAATAATCACACCCTTGATCGATAGAATTTAAAACACAGATGAGCTTCATTGAAATTTTGTGAAATTTAATAAAACCATTCTAAACCATAATCACGTGTTTGCTCTTGTTTGAACTGAAAAGACGATGTAAATGGTCTGATCTACTTGGATTGTACGTCTTAGATAGCCTGATGTAATTCTGGGCGAAAAGGTGTGGGGATGAGGAGCGGGAGCAGAAACGGTGGTGTGAGCGAGAGCGGGATCGTAAAAGTGACGTAAGCGGAAGCGAAAACGGTAGCGGTAGCGGAAGCGAGGTGAGAATGAGGTGCGGGATAGTAAGAACGATGATCCAAATTCTACTGAAGGTGTCACATTTCAATCATAATCAGGGTAAAGAGTTCATATCCGAGCAAAGACGTCATACATAACATCGGCTGATAGACTTTTGAAGTCATCTGTTCATTCACTGACTATTTCTTCGACGGCGGTAAACTTTCTGTTGTCAGAAATTTTTAATTTAAATTCTTTAACTTTGATGGTATTTTAAGAATATGAGACAAAATATATCCAATGCTCAATTGTACATTTGATATTTACTGTCTTTTTTGTTTGTTGTAGAACTCATTCAAATCGTATTAAAGTCATTTTTGAGTTGATTATGACAGTCAGAGATTTTTAGCATACATTTGCTGATATATACTTTATGTTCCTTTGGATGTGAAATATATACATTGTCAAAGATTATTTGTCTGTTGTTGTTTTACATCGAAAACAACTTGGTAAAAGTACTTTCAATTTGTGTAAAGTGCAAGGTTATTATGCATAAAGGCCGACCCGTGCCGATTGCTTCAGTAAATAGTGAGTTAAATGAATGTTATTGGTCAAAAGTGCATGCAGATGTAAATATTTCTGGTGTGAAACATTATTGTCATGAGACTGAAAACAAATTACACTTAAATCATTTATTTTTAACTTACAAAAATATACTTTGTTTTCAAAGCACAAAACAACCAAAATGATAATAATGTAAGAAATTCATACAAATATATATTTTCAAAGATAATGTAAGGATTTATTAGAAGATTTTTCCTAAAAACATTTAAACGTAATTAAAAAGATTTAGATTATTGATATTTGATCAAATTGAATGCTGCCTTCTGTGTAGAAAAATAACACCTATAAAAAGCATTTTGTCATATAAAGTTATTTTCCTGCCCTGATCACTTGTATCAGGTGGTTACTTGACGTCATTGTCTTCATCCAGAGCCAGTCTTTTGCTTAAAATTGTACATCTAAGCTCAGCAGGAAGGGTCTTGAATACTGTTGTACATTCATCAATTATTTCACGGACAGTAAGCTGTTTTCCGTTTACTTCTCGTTTTTGTGAGAGATGGTAGGCATCGCGAGTGTCAGGTTTAAACGAACCATAATATATTCTATGTGGCAGTTTGGCGATAATGTCCACAGCGTTGTCTACAAGTGATTTGTAATTCAGTGCCAAAGACGTCGTAAGAATACTTAAACATTGTCGTGTTGGCACTACGTGATTATAAGGACCACAAATATTAAAATAACCATCATATTTTTTTTAGCAGATACATATTCTTTCTCAAGCCAGTTTTTCATAACCAATTTACAACTTTGGATGATAGAGTCAACTTGATATTCCTCCGCTATAGGTACAATGCGCAGTACATTGGCTTCTGAAAAAAATGCAGTAAGACATAGCGAAGTGAAGTTCCTGAAATTTATTTGATTTTGCCATGCCGTTTGTTAAAGATCGAAACTTTTTTCAAATTGACATATTTTCTTTAACATATATTGCTTAATAACTATTTATTTTCAATAAACAAAACACATACCAAATATATCATTTTCTCCTTTTTTGGGTTTTGAGGTATTACATATAACATAATTAAGAAATTACTTTGTGCTAAGTTAAACTTGAACAAAATGCACAAGAGTAGACATGATTCTTTACCTGTAACTGGCTTTAATGTCCCAGGATGAATACACATCAAAAATTCATGAAAGTCTGAATAGTTCTTTCCTGTCAAGGCGACTGCTGATTGCTGCTTTTCTTTGAAATCATTCTTAAACATGGCATCAAAAGCTGGTGAAGATAGTATAAGAAAGTTTTGTGAAACATACAGTTCCTGTTGATCATCAAATATTAAACGTATTTCGTCCAAACACTTCCCAGGCGTTGTAAATGTGTTCGGACATTCTTCCTCCTTAACATCTTTTATTTTGCGCTTTTTATTCATTTTACAAATGCTATTGGTACGAAATACTTATACATTTTTTTCGCGTCATAAAATAGTCACTTAACGATTCGGAATGATTTAAACTGAATGGATATGCAAATCAATCCCAGCAAAAGACAATACGAAGGGAATCAATACACCACACAATCAATTTTTATCTACATTTTGACATGTTAAACTTACGTTTTGAATGTCAATACACATTTCTATATTGTAAAACTTTTCAATGCTCAAGGCTATCATTTGATCATTCCTTTATTGTAATTGGATCAAGTCGACACTGATATTTAAAGCAAGGAGAAATTTATTGTTCGAAGTGCAATTAAACGTTATAAGCGAACCACTACAATATTAAGTAAAATTTCATTGCTTTTCTTTTGAACTTTATAAGCGGACCACTACAAAGTTTCGTAAGGTTTCGTTTCTTTTACTTCATCCCCCTTTAATTGTGTATTTTTAGAATTTCATTGTAATTTTTGTGTTATCCTTATATACTTATTTTGTTGTAGTTTTAAAATTTAATTTTTTCCCACGCTGCTCCGCAAATAGGGCATCGTTCTTGCCTTCATTCTAAATTGAAGTATAGAGTCAACTTGTCGGTGGTGTGTGTTTTGTTTGTTATAGATTTATTATCTGTGGAAAAGTTATATATACTGTGATTTCACTTAATTTCATGGGCATGAACTTTCGTTACTTTTTGTCAAAAAAGACAAATTATGTAAATCATTTCTAACTAGATTATTTTGCGCAATTGTCATAAATGACAACCATACTATAATAATAAAGCAAAGCAATTTTGTAGACTATTTTTGACTTACAACGTTTAAAAATATAAGATGAAACAGTATATATATGTATATAATTTGTAAATGTAATGATAATCCCGTCAAGTGTATTTGTTTCCGTCCATTGTTTACTCGTTTCGGTCAAATTGTCTACCAATTGCCTATACGCCTTTGTTGGGGGAATGACACAAAGTGTGCTATTAAATGTTCCATTGTACAAACCATTACACAAGTACATTTTAGCGTTTCGAAAGTTTAAAATTAGAATCACATTAAAGTTTGGGAGAGTGGACATGTTCGGTAGTGCAGTTACATATACTTCATTCACTGCCACCCATATAAAAGACTTAATCTTTTCGATCCGTGAATATCGTTTAACATGGAATTATTTGTTGTGTTTGTGGCATTTTAGTTCCTTTTATCGTATTCAAGTCGGTCGGTTCCAGTATTCCTGCTACAATACTGTAAAATCATGCTTAGGATATGTTGCCTGCTATTAGGGTTTTTCTTTTCGTCATATCCGTGGCAAAATGAAAATTTCAAACTATTGATGGGAAAAATCGTCTTAATGTTTGCTCGAAAGAGAAACTTGATTGAAACATTTGGGTGAATAAAATTGTTGGGGGGTCAGGGTCGTATTGAGTTATCTGCCCTTGAATGTGAGTTAATATTTTAGAAACAATATTGGTCCTAACGGTGTTTATCGGCTATTTAACACCGGTTTTGAGTTTTGATGCTTATGAATTGACCACGAAGGCCACAGGCCTGAATGGTTAATTTTTGTGCAACAAAACGACAAAATCGGTGTTAAATAGCCGATAAATACCGCTAACATTGATATTATTTCGATTCTCTAACACGATTAGATAAGGAAGATCACTAATGTTATTTTTTCAAGCGGAAAAAACTTCCGGTGCCGATTTTCGTATAACGCTGTTCGATTTTTGCACCCTACTGTTGCTAAGATATAGAAATTATTAAACAAAAGACATAATAAGAAATACCGTTATTTTATCAAGTTTTGTAACAATATAAGCTTACGTCTTAGAATGGATTGTATTGTGTTTACATCAGTGCCCAATATATCATTCTTGTATGTATGAAATGACGTCAGTGTTTATGAATGAGTTGTATTCGCTAAGGATGACGTCATTACGCTGCTTACGTATTGGCGCCGTTTTCTCAAAATATTAATTAACTGATAGGATCTCATATATGACGTTAGTGTATGTAAGACATTATTTCCGTATTATATGAAAAGTAAACATTATAAGAACTGAAAATATAAATAAAAATATAAATAAAAATACTTTTCATTGTTGCCTTAAAAGACTTTGTAAACTATATAATCGAGGATGAAAACATAACATCCGCATATACAAGTAGGCCCTAACCAGTGTTTATTGGCAGTTTAACACCGGTTTTTTTCCATCTTTGTCTATAGTGACAAAATCACGTGGAGTGTTAGACTTAATCTTTTAGGACACTGTTATGCGCTAAATGAGGGTGTATTGAATCTCAACACAATGTTCCGTTTTATATTTTAATGTTTCTTTCTTAGTGGATTACCACAAATAATATATAACATATACACAGGTTATCTTGATGTTAACAAATCTATATTAAAAACAGTAACAATTATTTCTAGTGGAAAGCCACAATACGTTATCACTTGGAAATCCAAAATCTAACTGACCCTAAATTTTCTACATTTATCTTTACAATATTTCTAAAATTTATTTCGTTTTAAACTGACCAATAGAATTTTAACATTTTTGTGTCTTAAATAACAAAATGACCAATCAGGTTTCAATACAAAATAATGTAACATAGCAACATAGAATTTATAACGACAATCATCACCTGGATATTTTATCAGTCATAAGGTTTAACGACATGATAAGTACAGACAGCTTAATTGACCTTATCACCTATATATTATAAAACTTTTAGCACAGTTGATTGGACAAAGAGGAAAAGCCGCATTTTAATCTTCCAGTTACATAATTTTAAATTTGACATCTGTTATTGAAACATATACTATTTGTAACTTAACATATTTGAAATTTCACAAATTTTGTTTTGAAAATATGACCTTTTAGAAAATGATTATATATATAAATATTTGTGTTTAAAAGAAAATCATCATACATATTTATTCAGTTTTTTTTTTTGTAAATGAATTTTATCATTTTTCGGCTGCACAACAACACTTTCAGGAGCAGATACCTCGAAATCACACATACTGATACTTTAATTTAACTCAAATAAATTGTTGTTACTTTAGTTTTAGTTAAATATTATGTAAAGTTTTAAACAATTATATCAAAAATAAATATTGCTATGCTTCGATATTTTAACACACTGCATTTTTGTTAAAAAAGGAGCATAGAAATTTTTTTTATTTTGCATAAGCCAGGATATTCGCACCACTATTTTATATTTTTTTCCTCTGTCTTTGTAAAAAATAAAATACAAAAATTATACTTAAGGGCCTAATACCTTATATGTTGTATATTTTTCTGGTCCTATGGGATCATTTATTGATCACAGTATTGTTGAATACTGAATACTGCTTTATCCGGTGCTTTGGACCGTGAGTGATGTTGCACTTTTTCATTATCTTTTATTAACATAAATCAAACTGAGTCTGCAATTTTCATATAATACGAGTACTGTTGTTTTCATTGAATCCGAGGACCACTCTTTTTCCAGATTTTCAAAACCTCTGATCCCGTTTAAAATTTTTATCTTATTTAGTTCCGTACATTTTCCCTTCTTTCTTTATGGAAACAAAATCTCAACATCAAAAGCTAGTGTCTAGCATAGTTTTATTCTGCTTCGGAAATATCGCTTCTACGTCGTAGAGAGATAATGTTGCCGATACATAAATACGCTATTCCGACATATATTTTCGAAAACATAAACATATTTACCCCGGCAAAGTATCTTTTCTTAAAGATAATTATTGCTTACTGTTCTATTGATATTATGCCGGTTCAAGAATTAAATAACACCTCACAAAGTACAATGTATTTGGAAAACACTTAGGGTATAAGGAGAGAATGTTAAGCTTATCGTAACATAGTGGTGTTTATAATCGGCATCAATCCACAATCTGATTATCATCATCATCATCACTTTTCAAATGCTATGTGGCTTGTTTAAAGTAAGATTTTTTAAAAAATTGTCTGAAAAGATTTTAAAAAAGTTTTATTATACAAGGAAAATAATAAAAAAAAACTTTCCATCTATAAAAAAAACAACACAAAATAAAAGATAAAGAGCACACACTTGACGGATAGCATTTAAATCACAGATGTGCTTCTTTGAGAATTAAGTCAAATTAAAGAAAACATCCTTTATTGTAGTTACATTTTAAACTAATTTTTGTCTTGTTTGACTGGCATTAAGAATGGACTGACTCATATTCTTGATTGTCTGATGTACATCGGAGAGAAAGGGGTGGGAATTAGGAGTGGGGGCAATCGTGGTCTCGGCTTTAGTCGCTTGAGTCGTCGCCGGACTTTGAACTGTCGCTTGAGCCGTCACGTGAGCGGATGCGGTCGCGGCGGTCTTCATGGGAGCGGTGAGGGTAGCGGTGGTTTTCGTGATGGGAGCGGGACCGGTCGCTGGGGGAGCGGGACCGGTCGCGGGGGAAGCGGGACCGGTGGCGGGAGGAGCGGGACCGGTCGCGGGGGGAGCGGAACCGGTCGCGGGGGGAGCAGGACCGGTCGCGGGAGGAGCGGGACCGGTCACGGGGGGAGCGGGACCGGTCGCGGGGGAGCGGGACCGGTCGCGGGGGGAGCGGGACCCGGTCGCGGTGGGCTTCATGGGAGCGGTAGCGCTGGTCTTCATTGGAGCGGAACCGGACTTTGAACTGTCGCTTGAGCGTCACGTGAGCGGATACGGTCGCGCGGTCTTCATGGGAGCGGTGAGGGTAGCGGTGGTTTTCGTGATGGGAGCGGGACCGGTCGCGGGGGAGCGAGACCGGAGCGGGACCGTTCGCGGGGGGAGCGGGACCGGTCGCGGGGGGCCTCATGGGAGCGGTAGCGCTGGTCTTCATTGAAGCGGGAGCGTTCACGGAGGTCTTCACGGTAGCGAAAACGGTCGCAGGGGTCGTCATGTGAGCGGTAGCGGTAGCGGCGTTCTTCATTGGAGCGTGAGCGGTCGCGGAAGTTGTCACGAGAGCGCGAGCTATATCGGGAGTTGCATTGAGAACAAGTCCTGTGGTCGTGGAGGTCGTCACGGTAGCGGCTGCAGCATGGGGTGTCCTCTTGGAGTGGGAATGATACGCAGACTGGAAAGAATGGTGGTCCAAATTCTACTGGATTTGGCACCTTGAAGTCATTATCAGGGTAAAGAGCCAATCTCCGAGCAAGGACGTCATACTTCACATCGGCTTGTAGACTTTTGAAGACCTCTGTACATTCACTGATAATTTCCTCGACGGTGGTAAATTTCCCTTTGTCAGAAATACGTACTTTTAATTTTTTAACTTTGATGGTATTTGGGGAATATGAGCCAAAAAATATCCTATGCCCGAATTGAGATACCACTCCAACGCAAAGTTCAATCAGCTCACTGTAGTTTAACATTGCGACTGTTTTAAGGATATATAAACAGTTTCGAGCCGGTATCACGAAATGATCAATAGACTGTCCCTTACGTGCTGTCTCAAGTTCATCGGTGAGCCACTTTTTCAGGCATATTTTACATTTGCATAAGATACGTGTGACCTGATATTCTTCAGCAATAGGCATTATATCCAGAACATTGTCTCCTGTAATAATTGAAATACATGACGATGAAATTATAAATATAAAATGAAATCAAATCATTCTCAAAACAGACATTGACAAAAATATTTCTTGTTATATATTGAAGTTCATAATTCCCTTATTGATAATGATTTAAACTTACTGTTAACAGTTGTAGTCGTTCCAGGGTGAATGCACATTAGAAACTCTAAAAAGCTGTCATATTTCTTTTCTTTCAGGTCAACATTCCGCGTTTGAGTTTCTTTGAAATCCCCACAGAGCATTGCTTCAAATACCGGCGACGTCAATATTAAGAAATTTTGTGACACAAAGAGTATTTGTCCATCGTCAAATGTTAACATGACTTCATCTTTACATTTCCCACTTTCTGTGAAAGGTTTAGATATTGTCTTAGTGTCAACATTCTCGGGTACTATGCCAGGCGACAGCGGACTAGTCATGTTCTTTATGCTTAAATTTAACTTCTTACAAAATACACAGAAATGACCAAGCAAATGTTCACAAAAGATAGACGATAAACGTTAATTTACTACATGTTTAATTGACTTTAAAACCGGTTAACTAGCGATACATGTCGATGCATGTGCCGTGAATCATAATTATTGTCTGTCTATCAATAAATTCCATTTAAGAATGCGTAAAATCTTTAGTTTTTATTAAAAATATCCCCTTATAAGTCACACTGTTCGATATTTTATCAATTGTATTTACTTTGGTAGCTAATAGTTGGTTGTATAGCTGACAATTTAAACCGCACGCTTTGTATGTCAATCGATAATCATTCATTAAGCGAGGAATATATATTAGCAATAGTCGTTATATTGTATTGTGTATACATAGTATTAAAGAAGTAAAATGTAATAGTCTAATAGAACACAGAATATAAATATTCAAATAACTCTTTACTCACCTCTTCATTTTTAAAGCTGCACGCCTCCAGGTTCATGCTAATTTTCATGAAATATGAAAATGTAATTAACAGTATAATATTTTAAAGTTACCAAAATATTGTAATTTACACATTATCAATGGCTCTTCCAATCCACGTAAATTACCATTAAGAGGTCAAAATATGCAAAAATAGGCCTTACTGCGTTAGTAACTCGGTAAAAATATTGTTATAGATACTAAAAAATTGGCCAATAATCGCACATAACATGTTATTTACAAGAATTTCTAATCTTTATACTTTTTCTAAAATCTTAGAACATTTTCTCAGGTTTGGTTTTATAGAAATAATTTTGCTCATCTGGAGGAGTGCAGCTTTAACTGTCATTAGATAAGTTTCAGTGCTTATTCGTGTACGTTGAGGTAACAGTGTTCAGTCAGTTTCATCATTGGTCCAATCGCCTAATGATAATAAAAATAAAACAATAACGCATTTGTCATTTTTTTCATTTATAAAGACACCTTAGCTTTTAAGTAAAACCCTTAATTTATAGCGCTTTTTCTTCTTTTTCTGTTGTTAAGTTCAAAACTTCACTATTTCATCCCTGGGCTTTTCCAACTTTGGTTTGCCAACACAATGATAGACTTGTTTCGTTTTTTGTAAGATTTTTATGTCTGTGTGTTCCGATCTTGTTGCGGGGGCATTTAAGAAAACTTGTCAGTTGTTTGGCTGTTTTCGTTACCATTTTCAGAAACACAGCAGCTTAAAGATACACTATGCTCATTGTTAAGTAAAATATTTTAATTCATAAAAAAATATTGAAATCCATGAAATTCTTACTGAATATGTCTAATTTGAAGAAAAGTATAAATAAACTTTGTAGTGGAAACTGTGTTCTCTATTAATTTACACGTCAAGCAAAGTTTGTTCTTTCTTTTTTAAGCCAATCTATATTCATATTGTGACCACCTATAGTGTTTAAAATTTAAAGCTTTACATATCTTCTTTGCATTATGGAGAAGCAAAAGCAGCACATGTATGTGATAAAAGTGATTTATAATTTGAGATACAGGTATTTTTTCCCTAAAAAACTTATTTTAAAAAACTAAATAATCTGTTCGAAACCTTCAATCTTTGACTAAATACAATGAATTCTTCTTAAAGATAATGTTATGCTCATCATTTAGTATAATATTTTAATCACAGAAATTTATTAAAATCTATGAAATTCTTACTAAATATGTCTAATTTGATTTAAAAAAAAATGAATAAACTATGTATGTGAAGTTGCGTTTCCTATTTCAGGTCAAGTAAAGTTAAGCTTTTCTTAAAAAAAAAACTGCCATTTATTTTTCATGACACTATATATTCATATTGTGAATGTAATCACGTGTAGTGTGTAGAATTTTAAACAAAACGTATCTACTTTTATGTGAAGTCAAAACATGTTTATTTCATATTTACAAAGAGACTGTGTAGCAATTATCAATATTTTCAAAGCATTGTATTTATAAAGACATGTTTTGATTAGTATTGGAAACTATTTTAACGTTATAATTAAAGACAGCCCTTTATATGAGACTCTCTTTCCCTCAATAATCATGCCAAATTACTGCATGTCATCAATCTATGTTAAAATTAACTAACATCTTAGTATGTGAACTGAAAGGCAAAAAAGAGAAAACACTATATCACAATAACTTTGTACTTTTGGCTTTTGTTATTTTATTGAGTTGTAAAGAATCCGTATAGAAGACACGTGTGTCTAATACTTTAAGACAACGATGTTATACACAGGTAAATATGCGCCACATGTTAAACGTATGTGACACACATGTTTTACATATGGTAGAAACATATGGTTTCTCCAAGAAAAGTACCCCGTATGTATTACATATGGTACAGACATGTTTATCATATGAATAACATATGTTTTTCATATGGTATGAAACAGTGTTCATGCATGTTTTTCATTATAATTGTTTAATAGAGTGTGTCCTACTTGAGCTTAATAATGTTGATCAAATTATATATATGTATTTGATTATGCTTATAAAACAATTTTAAAGATCCTGTAACACAAATCTTTTATGGTTTTATATCATAAATATGATGCTCAAATTAAGATTTATCATTTCTGTAAGTTCCAAAAAGCATTATTAATAAAAAATATTACCGAATTTTACATTTCATGTAAATAAAGGGAGGGAATAAAAAGTTTTATTTTCTATAAAATCTAAGTCAAATTTTTCAATATGAAAAAAAAATGCATACATATAAACTGTACACATATTTGCAGTACATATTTTATAATTCGTCAATGTTTGAAAATTGTTTTATAAGCATAATTATATACATATATATATAATTTCACTTAAATGTTTCAACAGACAGGATCTTTAACTTAGATTTTATTGAGTGAACATTTTAACAAGGTCACTCCCTTGGGGACACTTCGTTAACCAAGAATCTTTTAAGAATTTATGTACAATCATGTAGTATCTAATTG